TTGCTCGGCGGGGACAACGACGACTTGCCTTCGTTGTCTCTCCCGGAGATAGAGAATTGTTATCAGACAGACAACGAGTGCAAGTATTGTAGCATTACCTTCTTCAAACACCACATTCTCAATCCAAGTCTCTACCTTTGGATACACTTCCGGTAATGAATCAACAACTCTCACCTATCAGTTTAAAAACGCACTTACTCTTTTGATTGGATATGTTAAAATGTATCAAATTGTTAAATAGGAATGAAGTTCTTACCAAGAAGGTATCCGCATAGTTTCTACGGAGCCATAAGCTTGCGAGAGCAAGTGTGACTGGCAATTTGGCGGTTGCATCGCTCTCAAGGGCTTGATCGTAGTAACGTTTAGCTAAATGGAGATCAAAGGGAAGTCCTTGTCCATGCTCGTGCATGTAACCGAGGTTGAACATTGCTTGCGCGTTTGATTGTGATTTAGCATGCATGTATGCTTCAGCCGCACGCACAAAATCTCTCTCAGTACCCTAATTAGAGAGCAAAAGAGAATCAGGTGAAAAGTCTTTTAAGTTTAATAGCTGATTCACATCTAATTCACCCTTCGTAACATCTCCCAACGCTATCAGCTTCATTATTTTATTCTACTATGAGGAAACTAACCTCTCTCAGTACCCTAATTGAAGATTCAGAACGAGCAGAGAGAATCAGGTGAAAGGTTTTCTAGCTGATTCACATCTAATCTGACCATTGTATTTCCCAATGGCTACCAGTTTCATGATTACATTTCATATATGAGGAAAACTAACCCGGCCATAGTAATATGCATCTCCAATAAGCAGAGCAGCATGTTCATTGCCTTGTTCTGAGGCACGCCACCACAAAGAATGTGCCCGCTCATGTCTCTCCTTATCGGTGCAAAACCCCGATACTCCCATGCACATGCTTCTTTCACCGTATTTATCGAGGATCCATGCGGCATTACTTTGTGCTACTTCATAACCCATCTCTCCCATTCTCGAGTACAAGATCAAAGCTTTACCCACATCACCTTTCAGGTAAGCTTCAAGACCCCATCTAGAGAGAGAACTCCAAGGTCCCCTTTCTGCTACTAACTTGTAAAATGAAGTGGCCTGTAACCCAAATGCAAGGGACGTCAACAAACAATTGAAGCAAAAAGTCCGACAACAATCTGTGTGCTCAAACAAATTTCCTAAAACATCGTGAAGGGGTAGAAATATGCCTTATGGAAGCCAAAAACAAACACTTTGATCTTAATGGATATACGTTATACGGTTATAGCTTATTTCATCTCTCTTACCTCGATAACACAAAAACGAACTCTGTTCAGACATTGAGATACGGCTAAATGAGCTATCAATAGCAACAATAGTCAATCATTTGAAGTTTTAAGGGCAGACAGCCAAATTTTTAATAGACTTTTGTTCCCCTTAACTATAATCATTGCACTTAACATCCATGGCTAAGCGGAAAAAGTCTAAGAAAACTTAAAACAAGTTACCATTTCCAGGTTCTTCTTAAGCCCAACTCCAGTATGGAACATCTTGGCGAGTTGATAGAAAGCCTTCGGTTGACCAGCATTTGCAGCAACAAAGAAGTATTTTGTTGCCTGCCTCACATCCCTTTTGACTCCGATGCCTTTAAGATACAAAACTCCAAGGTTATAATGCCCACTAGGGTCTTCATTGTCAACAGCCTTCCCAAAATATTCCCTTGCCTGCAATTGAAGGCATACACCAATGGAATGCTCACATCAAATCAAGAAGGAATCTGTGTAGTACTTAGGAACACTAGCAAGAGGACTTTAATATTGTTCTTGTAACTTTCAGACTAATCTATAATTTATTACAATCTTTTCCCCTTTTTGTCTAAGTTCCTTTATTATATTCTGTCTGGCTAAATCATTCTTGCTAAATCAACAAAGAACCTAAACCTCTAGTCAGATAAAGAGTGAGCCTGAGAATTATGAGGCCATGAACGAAGATATTACCTTAGTGTAGTTTTTCTTATCAACTCCATAGCCTTTGACATACAAGTAGCCAATTCCATTAAATGCTGAATAGAGACCTTCTTTTGCAGCAAGTGTAAGCCATTCAAGTGCCTTGGTATAATTTCTTTCAACACCAGCTCCTCGAGCATATATCTCCCCCAGAAGTTCCATTGACCTCGCCTCTCCTTTTTCTACTGCTTTCGAAAACCAGTACAATGCCTTAGTGTGATCACGCCTTAATCCTCGCAGGCCGAAGTAGTAGAACAGTCCAATCTTGTACATCGCTCCAGCGTTCCCTTTCTGTGCTTGATATTCCAATATCTGGAAATCTTCATCTTCTTCTCCACGGGATTTCCTTAGAGCACCTTTGTTTTCTTCAGTTCCGCTATGAATTCTAGTTGGTTCAACGACGGGCGAATCCTTTGAGATGAGAAAACTATTGACAGCCGTCTCTGCTAGCTCAGCATATAACTGGACAGCTTTATCATGCATCTGTTACAGAACGGCAAGTCAATTACAAACTCAGCAAAAAAGAGCATTTGGGAAGAAACACAAAAGCTTGAAGATGCTTTCTTTTTGTAGAATAGTGTCATCTATGTAGCTAAATGTAATGTTTGTATATCAAAATGCAATATCATCTGATCATAAAGAGCAAACTCATCAAAATTCCATCTTATAAGTTGAGCTTGCTTACATCTTGTCGCAGATACGTGAACGCAAGTGCCATCTTCGATTGCATATTCCCTCCATCAGCTGCGAAATTATGGTGAAGAAACGACTTGCTTTTGCTCTTCTCCCGCATCATTCCCATTCCGTACACGAAACCCATTATCGACTGCGCATGCGGATCTCCAGCTGAAGAAGCCGCCTCTATCTCGTCCATTGCTTCCTCCATCAATCTAAAATTTCCTTCACTCGCCGCCGATAGAATATTTTGGAGGCCGGAGTAGTACTGCGGCGACCCGGCTTGGACGGTGGAATCATCCGGCTCGAAGATCGGTCGCCACGAACCGGGATCAAGCTCCTCTTCTGACTTCGGTTCGGATTCCCCAAACTCATCGAAGTCAGAAGACTCTCCGACGTCGTTATCATCGCCGCCGCTATTGAGATCGTCATTGGAGAGAACGAGAACAACGGGACGAGCGTGAACGCTGATTTCGAAGAAACAGAAAACGAGTAGAGAGAAAATAACGATCCTGTAACCTGAGATTCTCATTCTACCTTCTTCTTAGTCGTCGCCGTTGTTTTTCAGTGATCAGATCGAATTTTCATCAGAACGACGACCGAAAGAAAGGAAGACGATAGGGGCAATATCGTAATTCAACAACTCCATAAGTCGCCACGTTAAATTGTCGTCATATACCCAATAATCGCCCGCCACGTAAGTCTAATGGTGTAAACATCAATTTTCGGGTTCGGTTCAATTTTCAAAAATCGTTATTATTCTGGTTCGGTTTAATCGAAATCGAATTTTTTATTGTTTTTTCATTTACATAGAGAGGATTCAAAGAGTTTTTAGTTAGTCTCCATTGATTTCAATCTTGTCTTCGTCATCAAGCTTCATCAGCATCCATTGCAACGATTGGATCACTTGTTGATCGTAGATTTGCTTCTGTTCCGCGACTCTTTTGTATTGTTTAGCTTCCATTTCCACCGAGCTTTTCTCCATCCGTAGCTTCAAAAGCATAGCCATGGCTTCTTCAGCAGCTGATTCAGCCGCTAATCTCTCTTTCTCCAGCTCTATCTTCATACAATCTCCACGTTTCCTCTCTCTCTTCACCATTTTTCTCAGAGTAATTACGTCGAACACGTGG